GACAGCATAAGTCCGTCGTTTTTTGGCATACTATTACATTTGAGGTACCTCTGGTACGCCGATCTGCTTTTTCAACAGCTGTTTGCCGAGTTTGCTGGCATTGAAAGTATGCTACTTTTTGTGGCATACTTTGAGAAACAGCTTGGCATATATCAATTTTTTTGCATGATAATGTTACAAATTTAATGACTTCGTCGATACAACGTATGATAAAAACATGCCACTGGCTACGCAAAAAGTTTTAGAGGTCATAATGGTTATTTCTTGCTGGATATCATGTGTCAGGGCTCATATTGAAATTGAACCCCAGAACAGCTATTTTTATAAGGCTTATCTCATCGTGGGATCACTGCGATTAAAATCACCCCATCATGCAGAAACACAACAGGGAATTCCTTTTTTCATTCGCATTCCCAATTACATTGAGTTTTCCACTTAAAAAAGAACGACAGTTCACAATGTATTTTGATAACACAAAAGTCCAAAAGCGTTTCAAATCTTTCTCACCGTGATTATTACACCGTGCTCTTTATACAGCGTTTTACCGAAGAGGAAGTAAATAGCTGGTGAGGGCGAGAGGAAGAACTGAAGTCCAGTCCAGCCAGCAACGCCTTGATTGACATGCCCAGAATGTTGCATCACAAGTCACAACGCTTCATTACATTCGTTTTCATCGCCCACTTTTACTATTTCTTTGCAGTACCCATATGCTGTCCAATGTCCATATTTCTCTTGTGTTGTGGCCAAATGATTCAATTTATCACCGGCTTCCCGCTTTCGTTCAGATTCAGTCTGCCGAATGATTCCGAAATATTCTCCATATTTGAAGTCGTCGGTAGCCCCTTCGATTATTTAAAAACTTGATTCAAGTAATATTTCAGATAACTTGTCGGCTAGTCGGCCGTGCTCCTTGCTATCATCAGTGATCGGTAGTTAGATAGGTGCCCCAAGTAATGCCATTTCTTGTTCGGCTTTATTTAGAACCACTCCAGAATTGCGTAGAAGATGGGAACAAATATTAACCCTCGCCGGACCTATTGGTTTTCTACATACGCCCCGGCCGAGGGGGGGGGGGGCGGGTACGACCCCACCCTCGCCGTTTCGCCCCTGGTGGAGCTAGCGCGTCGCGGAAAAAACGAGCGTGTGCACCGTTACGAGACGCAGAGATTGGTACCCGATTTTAAGGTCCTAGGTCAACCGGTGACCTCTGAGGTCAGGTCAAGTGCCCAAAGGTACGGTTCAGTTTTTGGTGAATAACTTCGCGGAAAATGGCCGCAGAGCCGCGATTTTAGCAGCATCGTGTTCGCCTCGCTCAGGCGCGTCGAATGATATACTTTTTGTGCGGGTCAGGTCAACTTGGGGTGTTGACCTCAGGTCAAGGTCAGGTCAGCACCCTAAGGTCACGAAGTTGGTCGAAAGGGGTCATGTCGCATATCATTCGATTCGGCAGGTCTTCCTGAGTCCATTGGTGGCTTTCCCGGCTCGCTAGCTCAATTTGATCAAGAGTTATTGACGAAAAACTAATATGACCTTGATGACGTCATAAATGACGTCACGCAAGGTCAACATTGCAAAAGTGACGCATCGAACCTTGCAAGGAGTGCATCAAATCACGATTCTGTGTGCTTGAGATAGTTGGAGATCGTTCCCGGCGCCAGAATAGCAGTTTGGATTTTTCCCCATTGACTTATAATGGTGAGGTCACGAAAATGACCTGACCTCATATGACCTTTAGGAAAAATCCGAGATATAAAAGTTGTGAGACTCATAATGGATACTAGATCCTGCAAGTTTCATTTCCCTGTGACATCTCCTCTGGCAGTGAGGGCGTTGCGAAGTTGCGACATCTGAAGACCGTGCAGAGGTTCACTTATGACGTCATAGGTCAGTGACCTGACCTGACCCAAAAATGCGGTTGGTGTCAAAAGATGCGGCTTGGATCAAAGGTCAGGTATGCTAAGTTTCAGCTCTCTATCGCCGGCGTGTTCGGAGCTATCGCGAAAAAACCCTATGGGGGGGGGCGGCACCCGCCCCCCCCTCGGCCGGCGAGGGTTAAAGCAATATTTAATGAGAAGTAACTTGGAAGAAAAAATCAATATCAATTCAAAATCCAATAAAACCCGCACACGCCAGTAACTTGAACTGTGCTGCGCGGCTTGCTGCCGACAAGGGCGGATCTAGGGGAACGTTTTGGGGGGGGTCACCAGTCGGCCGACATGCCAGGTCTGATGAATGAATTCTGACGACCGGGGGGGGGGGGGGGGTAGGGAGCGAGTATGTCGAGATCCAATGACATTTGATCTTCGTCGTTTCTGAGTTGAAGTTTTATCGTAAGTCACTCGGCTCAGTAGTTTTAGTTAGTGAAACCCACCTATAGAGGAGCGTCGCCACGGATTTTTTTACTGGGGGGGGGGCGGATCGACCGACTTAAAAACCCAGAAGTAGTAGATATAGTTACCTCACTTATGCATTAGTCTAATGCCCAATGCATTAGTAGCATACAGTCACGATCTCTCTTATTGACCTGTGTATGAATCGGCGGCGCGAAGCGCCGCAAAAATTTGAAAAAAGTTGTCAAAACACAGCTCTAAAACACAAATATTACAACCCTTTTAGCATGCTAGTACAAGCCGGAGTTCCTTCACAGTGCACATATGAATTCCGATTCAATTTGACACGGTTGGTGTTATTACAGTCACGATCTCTCTTATTGATTGGTGTATAAATCGGCGGCGCGAAGCGCCGAGAACATTTGCAAAAGAATGTGTCAAAACACAGCTCCGCTCCAAAACACAAATTTTACCACCCTTTTAGCATGGCAGTACAAGCCGGAGTTTCTTCACAGTACACATATGAATTCTGATTCAATTTGACACGGTTGGTTTATGTAATTACAGTCACGATTTCATATTGACCTGTACGTATGTACATGAATCGGCGGCGCGAAGCGCCGCGAAAAATTTGCAAAAACATTTGTCAAAACACAGAGGGGGTCTCCTCTCTACAGAGGACCACCGATCTCTACTGCGGGCCTCCTCTTTTCACAGGGCCTCTTAACTACAGAAGGCTTCCTCTCTACAGAGGGCTTCCTCTCTACTGAGGGTCTCTCCCTTTCAGAGGGCCTCCTTTACAGAGGACCTCCTCTCTTCAAAGAGCCAGAGGACCTCATCTCTGCAAAGGGCTTCCTCTCTTCAGAGGGCCTCTTCTCTACAGAGAGCCTCCTTTCTTCAGAGGGCCTTCTCTCTACAGCGGGTCTCCTCTCTTCAGAGGGCCTTCTGCATTCAGGCGGTCTCCTTTCCACAGAGGGTCTCCTCTACAGAGGGCCTCCTACCTACTGAGGAGTCAGAGGGGCCGACACAGACACTAGCGGTTATTCACTGGAGGCCCCAGGAAGTAAGAAGGGCCCTAGCTGTCAGGCTGGTCAGAGTGCCCTGAATGTCCTGACGTGATTTTTGGGATTCCCGTAAATTTCTTTCGCCTCCGACGTGATTTTGACCTGCCAGGGCCCAGGGGCACTAAAAATAAAACAAACAAAATAAAAAAATGGAAATAGGACATCACCAAAATTAAGTGGCCGAAATCCGTTGAGTTTTTAATTTTGCGTATAGGTAGGGGCACCACGAATTAAATTCATGACCATCCCCTTGGAGTTTTCCTGGATCATCCCCTGGTGCTCGCACGGTTGAGACAAAAATGAGTAAGATTCTGGCCTTCAATACGCCTTTTCACGCAACACGATCCAGAAAAACAAAGGTATTAGCTCAGAAGTGTTTGACATGTGATTTTGAGCATGCAAGACGGCGTCTATAGCGCATTTAGGTCTTCGGCTTTTGGGGGGGGTCAAATGACCCTCTCAGACCTTTTGGGGGGGGTCATGACCCCGTGGACCCCCCCCAGGATCCGCCACTGGCTGCCGATTGTTTACATTTTTGGCTTTGGAATGTCATGCTCCAAGCAAAAATCAAGAGCATTATTAGCAATATTTGTTTAGGTACTTCCTCTTGTATGATCAGCAAATTTTATTCTTATTAGGGTAGCTAGAATTTTTTTCATAATATTGCATATCTAAGCATTTAAGCTCGTCGACTTTAAATACGGAAAAATATAGTGACTGCATGTCCCCGACGAGATGTATGCTTTATAGTCACCGTGATGTATGCATGCGTGCCGGTGGCTCTCAAAGTACGTAAAGCGGGCGTAGTGAATATATTCCTGTGGTGAAACAGAATAGTATTATCGTCGTACTTTGTGGGTGTACTTTTCCAAAGTACACCAAGAATATATTCACTTGGTGAAATCGGGCCCAGATGGGGGTAGGTGTTCTAACACCTGCCTGTGGTTTTTCGCAAATACCTATCTATTGAAAAAAAGGCGGCGCGGTACATTGCCCTTTTTGGCACACCTCATCATACATCATTTCCGCACATTCTGTAAAAATGTCAAATCAAGGTCATTTAAAGTCAGGTCACCAGGTCACGTCAAGTGACCTCACCTTCTAAAAGTTTCAGTGCATGTCATATCTACACCGAGTGACCGATCACTTTGAAAGTTTGGGCAATTGATAAGGTCAGCAATGTGTACAGTCTGTCTTAAAAGTACCGCGCAAAGTGACGGTGGATCCATCCAAGCCTGACCGATGAAGGACTGCTAAATTTGAGTCACCGAAGCAATGGACATCCTCGTCCATTCCCCAGCTCAATTGGTTCGGTGAATTTCAAATTATAGCAGGCCCTTCCTCGGTCAGGCTTGATGGATCCACCGTCACTTTGCGCGGTACTTTTAAGACAGACTGTACAATACCTACCCCATTCAGTATTCATTATATTGTTACCCCGATTAAGCAATTCCTCACGTTGGACATATTTAGCACATCTAGGATTTTTTCCAGTTCAGGGCCTGCATGACCCCTAACGCATTCTCATGACGTTGGTGTTTCAGTAATGTCTGAATGAAGCTCGAAAGAAAGAAGGAAAACAACTAAGTGGAGTGTTTCTTTGCAGACGCTGCAGCGAGCTGTCGCCCGCCCTCTGAACCAGAAGAGCACAGCGGCAGCGGCGGAGTGACAGTGCCGCCAGGTGGGACAGCTCGGTGGGACAGCTCCGTGGGACAGCTCCGTGGGACAGCTCCGTGGGACGGGACAGCTCCGTGGGACGGGACAGCTCCGTGGGACAGCTCGGTGGAGAACCAGGCTTGCAGTGTCGTGTGGCGACGTTCTGAGCTTGCGTTGGCGATGCTGGTTCGGTGGCGAGCGGTGGGTCCGGCCGGCGCTCAAAGAGGTCTGCTGGCAGCCGTCGCCGCGACTCTGGCGCTGCTCGGGCTGTACCGGACACCAGTGGGCCCGCGTCCACTGCCGTCCCGCCCCGCTCCGCCCGTCAGAGGCGGCCACGGCCTCCCGCACAGCCAGCAGCTGTGGAATCAGTGTCGGAACGTGCTGCTCATGAGCCAACTCCAGTTCCCCTGGGAAAGGGGCGACCGCCATCAGCGGTGCAAGAAAGCCCAGTGGTCGGTCGCTGAAGCACTGGAGGGTGTCCGCAAACTACAGCAGTCGCGGCCCGACAGACGAGCGGTCAGGATCGTCTTCATAGGAGACAGCAGGGTGCGCAACCTGCACTCGACCCTGGTGAAGGAGCTCGGCCTGAGGCCGGACAACGCCAGTACGGTGCCGATGTTCTACAACGAGGTGTTCCACCCGCGTGAGCAGCTGCGGCGTGCCGTGCCGCCGCAGCAGCGCCTGCCCGGCCTCCGAGCCGGCTGTACCGAGGTGGATGTGATGCGGCCAGACGGCCAGGACCGCGTGCGCTGCTCGCTGGCCGCCGGCGCCGCCAGTCTGCGCAGCGAGTTCTGGTGGCGGCCCTACCTGGAGCGCCGCTCGGCCGCCCTGCTGGACTCGCTGATCGCTGAGTGCGAGGCGGGCCGCTGCACACTGGTCGGAAACGCTCCAGCGAGAGGCCAGCGGCCTTTCTGCAAAAGTTTTTTGCTTGTTATTCCACAACTAGTGAAGCAAACTTCATGAAACTTTGCATACCTTCTCTGTCATATGTAAGCTATCATTTGGATGTTAAGCACTAAATATATGACCTGAATCTGTTAAGTTATGACGTCATAATTGAGTATAATACAGGATCTAGCACCACTTTAAGTCAACAAGGGAAATTGGGAGCTGCTATTCGGGCACCGGGAATGGTTTCATGCACTCATTGCAAGGTCCAGTGCTTGACTTTAGCATTGTTGACTTTGCGTGACGTCATTTATGACGTCACTAAGGCCATGTAAGTTTTTCGTCAATAACTCCTGATCAGATGGAGCTAGGGAGTCGGGAAAGCCACCATTGGACTCAGGAAGACCTGCCGAATCGAATGATATGCGATATGACCCCCTTCAACCATTTTCGTGACCTGAGGGGCTCCGACCTGACCTTGACCCGAGGTTAACACCTTAACCCTCGCCGGCACAGGGGGGTTGATGCAACCCCCCTAAGGTTTTTCGCGAATAACTCGCGTAAAAAGCGGCCGATCGCGACGAAACTTTCAGTACCCTCGCATTGATCAATTCTACACCTACCCTGAAAATTTCATGACCCTGACCCCAATGACCTTTGACCTGTGACCTCTTTTCCGTGACCATGTTTGGCCGAAATCGCGATTCAGCGTATGTCGGCTCGCATTAGCCGCGCGTTTGCAAGCTTTTTGTGGTTTCAAACGTTCAAACATGTGATTTGATGTTGCTCTCATACATTAGGATGGGTGTCAAGGTCACCTGAAGGTCAGGTCAGGTCATTGACCTTTGGTGACCTCGGGTGACCTCGATTCACTTTTTCGAGTTTTACATGTTTCTAGGCTAGTTTTTGGAGCTGAATTCTAATTTAGCAACCATTTGAACATTTACGAAGTAGTTTTGGCGCTTTCGTAACATGTTACGAAGCTGTCTGCAGAGGCGGTTGCCACGTATTACGAATACCCGTCACAACCCCTACCGGTTGACCTGACCTGACCTGACCCGACCTGGTCTAAATGCTTAAAGACATCATCTCTGATCAAAACTAATACGATAATCGTGATCAGCACCCCGGAAAACCACATAGCAGCCACAATTTACGACTTTCTAACAGGTCCCGATTTCCCCGGTTTTCGGGTCATTGACCTGACCTGGAAGGTCACCCGATGACCTAGGACCTTAAAATTGGGTATCATCGGCTTCCTCTCGTGACGGGCAACACGCTCGTTTTTTCCGCGAGGCTCTAGCTCGATCAGGGGACAAACGCGAGGGGGGTCGTACCAACCCCCCCTTGTGCCGTCGAAGGACGCAAAATGGCCTGTGCCGGCGACTGGCGAGGGTTAAGTTGACTTCACCCGAACACCAAGTATAGCATTATTTAAATTTAGTATTAAATTATCTGGTTTGTATCAATATAGTGCCAGTATAGCATTCAACGCGCCTGAGTTAGACAAACACGATTATGCCAAAATCGCGGCAGTGCGACCATTTTTAGCAAGTAATTAACCTAAAACCGAGCCCGTGCCTTGTGGCACTTACCTGACCTAAGAGGTCACTGGCTGACCTAAGACCTTAAAATCGGGTAAAACCTAATTTTGCGTCTTATAAGTTATAACGGCACACAAGCTTGTTTTTTTCCGCGAGGCTCTAGCTCAATTAGAGGCGAAACGGCGAGGGAGTTGTACCAACCCTCCCCGGTCAATGTAGAAAACCAATCGGTCCGGCCAGGGTTAAATACCGGAATTGTGATCTAATGTAAAAAGACGGCCCAAGGTAACCCAACGTCAGTGACAGGTGTCCTATATTTGCAGCGTCTTATATTCACGAAGGTTTCAATTTCCACTTTCTTCAGCCGAGTGATGGTTGTCAATAGCAAGGCTCTCTAAATGCAAGCCGTAATCGCCACGCAATATGTGGAAGGCTTTTGATGTCAATACATACATAAATGCATACATAAAACACGCTTTTCACAAAATTCATAAACTCAAGCGCATCTGTTTTTAATGACCAGTCAACTACGCATGGATGCGTGCAGGCCACACACGTCAGCGTAGGCCGGGCGCGGCGGCCGAGCCGAAACTGGGGCCGGGGCGGGCGGTAGTTGGGTAGGAAGAGCGGCTCCTGCAAATTTTGCGCAAATATGCGCAGTTAGCTTTTATGTTGCCCTGGTGTAAATTTAAATCCTACTTCATCTCACAAAAAATCAGAGTGGAACTAGATGGGACTACCTGTTGTTTCCTTACCTAAACTTTGCAGTTACATTCCAGAATCACTGTAGGAGAGCCTTCATAAAAAGCTATAGTACATCTTAGTTAGGGAAAAAGTATACCAAAAATTTTACACTGACCAGTCGGCAGCTTCATAACGAACATTTTGATGCATAATATGTGGGATTTCAATTTGGTGTCTATCAGCAATAAGACTCTGAATATCCGGCTCAAGAAACCTCTTGCTCCGCGTCAGTTTCCGAGTTCTGGGATACCCCATCTTCGGGGGCTGATTACAGCTATTTTTGGTCACCCGGATTAGTTTTTTTGGCCTAAGTATAATAATTTGATCAATTTCAAATCGATTTATATAAAAAATAATCCGAAACTCCGGAATCGCCCTTGGCCTCTCGTGAGGGCGTTTCCGACCAGTGTGCGCTGCCCAGACCTGGTGGTTATCGACAGCGGTCCGTGGTACGCCCGAGTGGCTCGGTACAGTGGAGACCCCACCACGGAGAGGGTGTTTGTGTTCCGCGCGGAGCTGGCGGCGGCGGCCGGGCGGCTGGCGCGGCTGGCGGACGCCACTCGGCTCCTCTGGAAGCTGGACGAACAGTACATGCCCGAGGTGGCCTACGGACGCAAGATGAACGTCACCGGGGCCATGATGGTGCTGTCGAGCGTGGTGCACGAGACGGCGGCGCGCATCCCTCGGCTGTCGGCCTGGTCCAGCGGGCTGGCCGAGACGACGCACTTTTACCACCAGGTGTGCCTGCCGCACGGCCGTCAGCTGCGCCAATTCACATATAGTCCGGTGAGGCACGAGTGCCTGGACCCAATGCACGTCGGACACACAGTGCGCTGGAAAATGATCCAAACCCTATTCAATGTGCTGTTTTTCAATGTAGTCGCACCCACTCAAGGACTGTGCTGTGGCGCGTAACAAAACGACCATTTCTAAGCCGTTAAATCGTGTTTGCCATCGATCGTGTTAAGCCCGACATTCCAAAAGGTACTTGCTACTCTCATCAGCTGGAAATTTTGTGGGACCAAGGACGAGCGATACTCCTACAAATAAAAAAACTTCTCACTCGCTATATCTTCACTTTTCTCCTTTTACTAAGGCATTACAATATACTTACAGTCAAGGTACAGGGACCCGCAGTTGCTACTGTACCTACACATATATTACCAATTTAGAATTGTGCTATTATTTGATAAGTGCTGGCAATTGGAAGTAACAAAGCAACACAAAGTATGGAGGAATAACACATGTTTGCTCCAAGGACCAATGTTTTGCATAGTTCCTCTTACCAGTCTTACCGCAACAGATATTCTTTCAAAACTAAAACCGTGCTATTTTCTGTGCCGGTTGCCTCCCCAGAGCCCGTCCTTGGTATCGCCACTAGCTCCCGCTCCGCTCCCGCTACGTGAATGAAAGTCACGGACTACTATATGTAGGTACACGTTCGCGCTCAGTACACTTCTAACACACCTAGCCCGAGGACCGGTCCGTAGCGGGGGCCAGGGTCCACGAAAACGGGTCTACGGTGCTTGTCACAGAACTTTGTGTTTGGGCTGATGTGGCGCAGACGCTGTACACCATGGACTAAAAACATTTGCAGATTCTTGGTCCATGGACATTTCTGAACTTTTGCGACACAGTTTAACTCAATTTGGGAAAGGTCGGCAAATCCACCAATGTCGCGCTAATTCCGGTCGTGGTCCCATCGTGCAATGGTATGAAATTTCATTTTCGTCTTTAAGTCTTTGCGGTGCAAATTACATCATTAATAAGTGAGCTTTCGCCATTGTTATGTGTTTTAGTGTGTTCTTCAGGCCCGGAGCTATCGTTTGGTATATATGAAGGTGGAATTCCTCCTCTATTTGTGATGGTTTTAGTGGATCAAAGATACGCTGTCGATGAGTCCGGGAGATGGGCCCGGTCACGGGCCCGGTCACGGGTCCGGTCACGGGTCCGGTCACGGGTCCGGTCACGGGCCCGGTCACAGGTCCGGTCGAAACGATTCAGAAGTTCGTGTTTAGGCCGAGTTTTCGCCATGAAATAGCAATTGTGACAGAGAATAAAGACGATAACGATGTAGTATGATCATTTCCGAACAAAATGGTGTAGGTTACATTGTACTTCCACAAACCTTGATTTTATTGCCGTGCTAGAAGTGGCGATCTGTGCACTGTGCATTGGTTCGGCCGAGTGCATGACTTTCAGTAATAGTAATATATGATTTTAAGCTTTTACGACTATGGTCCGTTTTTCTTAAGTTTGCCCCTCACTGTAAACGTCTTTTTGAACATAGCACGAGAATTGCTAGCTGAATTACTGAGAAAACTGGTTGGCGCACATTGATTTGACCAAATTTCACAGACGATCAATTTCATCAAATTTATTTACTATTTCACAGACTCTTAGCTCGTATTTGCCAATACCTACATCCCCACAGGGATAGACGACTTCTCAGGAATTATGTCTGAACTAATGAATAAATTGCACGGCACTTAACATAACGTTAAATCGTCGGTGTTCAAAACTTATTTTTGAAAATATTATTCATATCTACAATACAATGTGCGCTAACCAGTTTTCTCAGTAATTCAGCTAGCAATTCTCGTGCTGTGTTCAAAAAGACGTTTACAGTGAGGGGCAAACTTAAGAAAAACGGACTATAGACATCTTAATTCAAGGTAGATACGTTTTTCGGCTACTAGTCGTTTATTGTTTTACGAAAACAATAAACGACTAGTAGCCGAAAAACGTAGGTATCTACCTTGAATTCAGTAATAGTGTACACGTTCCTACAACAGTGCAATCAATTTAGAAGATAGTGCGCTTATATTCACCGGAACGTAAGCCATTTCGCCATAGAGTACGGATTTGTCATGTGGTAGGTATTTGGTATGATATTCGGCGTCCCGCAATGCAATTTAGGCGATGTTAAAGTGAATTCGCTGGTAGCTTGGGAACATTTTTAAAAGCCCCCTATCTGTGAGACAAGATTAACGTTAACATTTGTCACAGAGCTGCTCAGATTGTAAGGATTTTGTTTGTGTTGGTATTGTGTCGCGTCAGAGGCCGCCGGGTGGGCGCGGACGGCGCGGTGCAGGCCGGGCGGCCCGGCGCTAGCGGGTGGTTTTGTGGGCACGTATTCGGCGCGGTGTTTTTGTGGGCACGTATTCGGCGCGGTGTTTTTGTGTCGGTTAGGATGGCGCTAAGGAGGCCAGCGTAGCCGGTACGGTGCGCCGCCGTCAACCGATTGGATTAGCCTCGGACCGACTGACGGGGGCGTATCCGCTGGAGAGTAAAGTAGAGATCCGGAGGGAAGGTAGCGAAGGGCCTACAGGACCGGCCTAAACCCCCCTCACAAAACATAACTTCCGCTCTCAGGAATTAACTTATCATTAGTCTCGCTCTATGATTTCGGTGACACGGTCCCGTGGCGGTCATATCATATTCAGGGCTTCTGATTCGGCTGCATAGCTTAGCTGCTGGCTCAAAAAGATCAGGAATGCTACACCTATAATTTTGTTATTACTTTTCAGCACCGTGGCAAATTTGATTGGACAAATCCGAAAAAAATCATCACGCCGAACTTGAAAGTACCCGACAAAAATGTAAACGACGTCTTACGTGGTTAAATCTAAGGCAGCCAGATGTGACAGGGCTCTCAAATACCCTTAAAGGGACCCTCCTACCTTAACCCGCGCCCCGCTGGGCTATTCAACCATAGGTACGCGCCCTGCTGGGGGGGGGGGAGCAGATTCTGCCCCCCCCCCCCTGTCTAACTTCCGAACCGATGGTCGTAGAAAGACGGGGAAAACGGCAATCGAAAGTTCTCAACAAGGCGGATCTTAAGAGCCGAATTTTTTTTTGCTTACGTAGGTCAGAGGTCAGGTCAAGGTCAGGTCAAGGGTACAAAATGCAAGTTTCTACAGTATCGGCCTTGCACCGTAGTTGCCGAAGAATGGACTGCGACTGATTGCCCAAAACGTGTTCTTAGACTACCAAGACAATATTCGTTGCATACAATGTCATTCAAAGGTCAAGGTCAAGGTCAGGTCAGGTCAGGTCAGGTCACCAAAAACAAAATATAGAAAAGGGCATGTGCAACACATGTTTTATGGGTCATTTTACTCATAGAATTCAATAGGCACGCTCAATAAGTGATATGGACCACCTCTGGATGAATTTCAGGTCGAGGTCAGGTCAAGGTCAGGCAAGTGAGGTCAAATTTTGAAAATGGTTGTTAAGGCCTAAAAAGGTGTCTATCTGATGCAGTTTTTCACGGCGAATCGAGTGGTGGTGCTATTTTTGTTTCCGTACGAGGTCTAGAACTTCGAAAAAGCATTTTTCGAAATTTTCGTGTGTCGTGACGTCATAAAATTTTGAATGACTCCCACATTTCTTAACTGATTCTTCGAAAAATTTGTATGTAGGTGCACATAGACCATTTCACTGACTTATATTCCGGTTTTTTATACACTCAAATTTTTGGATTTTATAATTATTTTCCCAAAAAAAAATCAGTTTTTGAAAAAAAATGGGCCAAAATCCAAAATTTTCAAAACACCGAGATAGACATTTGATAGACAAAGTAGAATCACGTATAACCTTTTTTGTTACGTCTTGATTCCTTTAAAAATGAAGATGTTAGCGGCGTTTGAAATTTTGCCGTTTTTGAGTCGAAAATGGCGAACATGACGTCACTAAAACGTCAATTTATCAAACAAATTCTGACGGATTTCGCTCAAATTTTCAGGGAACGTGTCAAATTGATGTATGATAAGGTACTGAAAGTTTGATGTCGCTGGCGTAACGCGTTTAGACGTTATTAATGAAAAACGGAAGGGGGAGCAGATTCTGCCCCTCCCCCCAGCGGGGCGTGGGTTAACCCTCGCCCACACATGCCATTTTCCCATCCTAGAAGGCACATGGGGGGGTTGCCACCCCCCGCGCCATCTCGTTCCTGCTGGAGATAGAGCTTCCCGGCTTGAATGAATGAGCTTGAATGATCATGGTGAATCATTGCATGTGCCATTTCTAATTAGATACGAGCATTATACTTTTATAAGACATACCTTAGCTATCGAGCTAAGGTATGTCTTATGACTGCGTGTGTGTCTTTGGTGACCGGTCACGACTCGAGTCAGTTATTATCCAGAGTCAGTAAAGAGTAGTCCCTTTTCGTTTTCAGCCTCAGCAACCAAAAAGCAATCATGGTGAATAAAGTGCAATTCTGAAGTTCGTAAACGAACTTTCGGCATGGTTCTTGCTGGAGAGCTCCATTTGCATGCAGGCAGGGGTGAGCAAACCGCAGTTATATCAGCGAGCGAAGCCAGAGAGAGCAAGAGAAAACCTGATCGACAAGCCTGGGCGCGACCAAAAAGGAGTATGCACTATGCACCAGTCGTCGAGCGGGTGGTTGCCATGTCATGGACAACAAACGTCACCCATCTACCCAAAAACAAGCTAAACGACAGATCAGGGATAGCTACGAAACATCAGTCTACTTTTGACCACTATTGTCGCAAGGCTTTGTTCAAAGGACTATTGCTACAAGCGCGTATGGCCTTGTTCAGGTGCGTGCGGCCCGCTGCAGATCCGGGTTATTAATTCAACGACTGACCGGTTCTGCAGAGGTTTCCGCGTCGTTCCTCGAATAAGCTTATGCGCTTGCCGCATGACGCTCCTTATATGATCGCGCTGTGCGTGCAAGATCCTGTATAAAAGCGTGCGTGAATTATCAAATACACAGAGTGCTCGAGACCGGCTTTGGGGACGCATCGGCACACCGAACCTCCAGTAAGTCGGCGATTCCACCGGCCGACACAATGGTGGCAGCGGCGGTCGAGGGGACTTGTGCCCCTCACCACGGACCCCAGCCTCTACATCTGCACTGACATCGCAGACTGGTTAGTCCGTGCTCCGTGACAGTGTATCGCCCCTACGTCACGTCATCGACTAGGGAGCTGACCATCCTGGACTCGTCATCGTCCGACATCACCGTCTCCAGTGAGTAGCTCTGCCCGGCAATACCATCTGCCCTGCGGCAACGTCATCAGCTGCCCTGGACTACTACGGAGCCCGCCGACAGCGCACGGCTCAACAGCCCGCGCCGTCCTCCTCAGCATCATCG